TACTTTTTAGTAGGTACGTATTATCGGGATCAACCCATGTGAAAAACCTATAACTATGTATATATTACGTGATAATCTTTCATATAATGTAATTACTATATTATTTAAAATGTTTCATGAGATCAGTTTTATAATTAGTGAAACATCAATGCTAACCTTGGATAAATCGCACTGGCACACCAATTTACAATCACAAAAATTGTCAACAAGATATCTGCCAAATTTTGTAATGTAATAACATATATGTAATATATAGTTACATTATTATTATCTACCCATATTTACCTTTCTGTTAGCAAGATCAATCTTCAAATTTGATTTTCGTGGGTTTTACATTATAATCAATTTCTTTATAGAAAGCTCCATAAGCTTTATGTTCTTTCTTTTTAATACCAGTACCAAAACGAAGTAGTGAATCAGGTACTTGTTGATTTGATTGACGTAATATTCTAATGAGTTCGCCTGAATGTACTTTATCGCAAGATGTGAAAAGAGTATGAGAAATTCCCTACAAAATATATAAAATTTATAAAATACATGAAATACATAAAATATACATAAAAATTCTTGATTTCTTTTTACTAAACAACCGCGTAATTAAATAACTACCTTATTGCCTGCGCGTCCAGTTCGTCCAATGCGATGAACATAATCTTCTATAGTTAACGGAAACGTGTAATTAATTACATATCTTACATCAGGAATATCTAATCCTCTTGATGCAACATCAGTTGCGATCAAAAGCGGATAAATTCCATCCCTAAATGCATTTAATGCTTCTATACGTTGAAATTGACTCTTATCGCCATGAATAGATTGTGCTTCATATCCTTTACGCGCTAACATGTTTTCAACACGTGATGCTTCTTTCTTATAAAGAACAAATATTAAAACTCTATTCTTTCGATTATGATACTTTTCTAAAAGCGTTACGAGTCGACGATCTTTTTCTGATGGATCATCAATTACTTCTACTATTTGGGTAACATTTCTATTTGCGGATAGGGTTTGTGAGCCAATAGTAACTCGAATTGGATTAGTTAGGAAATCGTTAGCCAATTTACGAACAGATTCAGGCCAAGTTGCAGAAAACATTACAGTCTGACGATCTTCTCGTGTTTTTAAAATGATATTACGAACATCTTCTTCAAATCCTGTGTCGAGCATACGATCAGCTAAAAAATAGATAAAAAT